ATCAGGTGTGGTTATTCTCGGTGTTCAGCCGGCGGGTGGATGCGCGGGCTCGGTCAGCCTGTGTGTGTGTGTGTGTGTGTGTGTGTGTGTGTCTTATCAGGACTTTGCTTCTGGAGATGCACAGCAGGAACGATTGCCTTTACACACACACACACACACACACACACTATAACAAAAGGAGCCTGGCAGTAATGTGATAATGCCAGGGTTAGCTGTTAGCTGTTAGCTGTTAGCTGCTAGCTGTTAGCCACGGAGGGAGGTCTTGTTTTAGAGGCAGGGACAAAGAGGACGACAAGGGAATCAAACCTGCGACTAAAATCTCCGTAGAAAACTTACAGTCAGCGATGAGTCAATATTCAGAGGTCAAACATAAGGCCCGCGGGCCGGAGACGGACCTTCAGTTGGTGACATGTGGCCTCTGTGTAGTTGCGATTCTTCACAGCGAAGCGTTATTGAACGAGGTGGACATTTTCATTTTCTTTTTTTTTTAAATCTCCAACCTGGTTAACCCTTCGTTAACCCTTCGTTAACCAGGTTGGAATCGTCAGATTTTTTGGACCCACTGTCGTCCGCGAGTCAAACAGTTTCAAATTTCACCCGCGTGTACGATGTCGTCGTTTCACTTCCTTCAGGAAAGGTGACTTTGACACTTTGTGTTTTAACGACGGCAAAAAAAAAAAAGACTGAAAGGTTTCACAAACATCACCGTGAGGACAGAACAGAGACCTGGACAGTGATGTGAGACCCGTATGTCTTTGTCTCTCTCTCTCACACACACACACACACACACACACACACACACGCAGCTACCTTGATTTCCGAGGCGGAGAGTTTGTCTGTTCTGCTGCCACCCTCTGGGGAGTCCTGGTTCTTTCGGTTGACGTGGACCACAGCCACTTGGCTCTGCTCCAGGAAGGACAGCAGAATCAGCCTATCACTGAGCACCGCTGAAGATGACATCATCACAGAGACAGAGACAGAGCTTAATGTCAGGATTCAAACGTAACCGTCACCATTTCACCTTGAAGCCACTTCTCCTCCATCTTTTCTTCAAACTTCCTCTTCCTCGTCCTTCATCTTCAGTCCGTCCGTTCTTCTTTCCCACTCATCCCACTTTCTCCCCCCTCCTCCCCTCCTCTCCCCCTCCTGATGTTTCGGGGTAAAACTTGATCCTGTTCGACTCGTCTGAAGCTGCGTGGAAACGGTGATTAGCCGTGAAGCCCCCCTCCCTCCAAATTAATCTGTTTATGAAACCAATTAAATGGAAAAACAAATTGGAGGTGTGTGTGTGTGTGTGTGTGTGTGTGTTTCGACACATGTCACACAGATATCCTGCTTTGAGTGGAACGAGCGAGGCTACACCCCGAGATAATTAAGCACGCTGTGTGTGTGTGTGTGTGTGTGTGTGTATTTATAACTGGTTGATTATGATTACACTTCAGTCGTCCTCTTGTTTGAATTTTTTTTTTCAAATTAATATGCACATATTCATGAGGGAACACAAACATGGCGTGGAAATTAAAAAAAAAAAAAAAAAGCCAAAAAAAAAAAAAACGTAGCATCTAAAGCTAACGCTGTTAGCGCCGGATTATAAACATCCCAATAAGAGCGGACGGCGAGTGTGAACCAGAGAGACGTTTGGTCGACGCCGGGACACGACTTCGCTACGACACGTTAGACAAACGACGACAAACGAAGGCAAACGAAGATGTCGATCTTCATCTTTGTCTACGGGAAAATAGGATTCAAACCTTTTTTCATTCCCCGATGGAGAACAGAAACGAGGCGGTGGCTCAGATCTGGGACCAGAGCAGACGACCAATCAGCATCCAGCCCTGGGAGTCAACACAGATGTTTATATTTGTGTCCACACAGACTGGGCCGAAAAACAACTAAATCAAACTGTTGCACAGTTTTGGTTTTTAAACGTCGTACGTCTGCGATAACGGAACAAAAGCCCCCGTTAGTTACTCTGACCCCCCCCCGTACCCCACCCGACACTC